GGATTGGTCTTACATATGTTGTGTACAAGATTCTGAACGATTCCTTACACGGGTTCCTGAACGCCGTTCTGATGTTAGCCAGCCTCGCATATGCCGCAGACGTTATTCTCTTTATGTGGGCTTCAGGAGACAGGTTTGGTGTGGTGGAGGAGAGGTGTTACTCTTTGGAAGGGAAGCCCCCTTCCATTATAACATCAGGCAGTGATGATTTCTCTGGGGTACTCTCTCTCCTACATTTTGCCTGCATACCACTAGGACCTGGTTGTGGTCCACTGCTTGTTTGTCTCGCTAATAATTTGTCTAGCGACACTTGTTTTTCCCTTCGTTTTAACATTTTGTTATGGTATATGCACACCATAGCTCCTTCTCCTTCCCCCTTTCCCCTTTCTCTTTCCCCTTCCTCTTCCCCTTCCCTCGCTTGCCTTCCCTCCCTTTGGTCATTCCTTCCATTTGTCACGGTCTGATCCTCGTGGTCTTAAACAGTTTGAAGCCACTTGCTCCCCTCGCTCTCCTGTCCATCTGTCCAGTGACGAATTGAAAATAGTACCTCAGGGCCAATAAACTTGTGCTCTCAAGTAACACGTGGGTGCCCAGCCGGCGTTTTCCCACAGAAAAGTCGTGGTGCTGTCCCAGTTACTGGAGTTTTCTGTCAAGAGGAATTGACCCTTATGGTCAAGCCTGATCCGGATTGGTTGAAGACATGTAGGCCTGTGGAGGCGGGGCCCCACAGGGTATTGCCTGTCCATGCCATTGGCCCGGATTCTAGATCACCCAGTTATGTTTAAATCCATTGGCCATAGGCTTGGGATAGGCGGAGTTAATTTGGGCCTAGGAACTAGGGGGTGGAGCCTGTCCCACTGGTAAGCATTCTTAATAAAGATTAGTTAGTGTGTCTTGGAGCTTAGTGGGGTACAGGTCCCCTTGGCCTGTGGGAGGCAAGCTATCAACATCTTGGCCTCAGTGCAGTTTAAGGCATTGTGCACTTGATTTCATGCCCTCAGTAGATACCCATTTTGCCTCTTAGGATGTGCTAGGACCTTTCAAATTGGATTTTAATTTACGTGCTCAATTAATAAAGAGAAATACATTGGTTCCAGTGGTATTCAGTTAATCCCCTTGTTTTTTCTTATATATTTTTCTACTTTGTCATTTTTATGTGTTGATGTGTTGACTTGGAAAGTTCCCGTGTTCCCCTCCATCTTATGAATATTAAAGTTGCTCTTGAATCTCCCTTTCAGTTCAGTAAGATTACAGTATTAATCCTTTAAGATTCATTTACTTGCCCCTTTCAGTTCCATGATTATTGAGTCCCTTCCTTCCTTGGGAAACAATAATTTTGACACATTCATTTATGTTTTGGGAAGGTGGTAGCAGTGTTTTAATGATTTTAATTATTAATTATAAATTAATAACCCCTATTCTTGTGGTGTCCTAATTTAATATTCAGCTTATATTCGTGGCAGTCCAGTGAGGGGGTCATACTGGACTGTAACAGTGTTAAGCTGGGGTTGTTGTTGTTGTTGTTGTTAAAGATTCGCTACCTGGAACAAAAAGTTCCAAGTAACACGGGCTATGGTGAGCCCGTAGTGCCTTAGCTGGGGTATTGGATGAAAGAGCAGAGAGAAGTAAGGAGAAAGTGTTATATCAACGAGGGTAGAGCATTTAGGGTTATTACAATTTGTCTGTAGTGATGCATCACAGTGTCATTGTAAAGGTTAAGGCAACGACCTACTGCAGCTTGATTTGGGTGAGTCGTTTCAGCAAAAGTTTATAGTTCTTCCCATGCTGCACACATTTTCTTAATTTTTGAGGAAGAGACATTCTGTACTGCCTCTATGGTCATCCTCACATGTGTGTTCATATGTTGAACCTTACCACTGATTTTCTTGGGACCCATGGCATGATATATAATCAGTTTTATGTTTAAAAAGTATTATAGTGTGGGTTGGTTTTGTTGTGTTGTCGTCGTTGATCCTTCTCTACGGACAACCCAACCCACAACTCGGTAGAGTGCTTATACTTCACTAGGAGATCACACTAGGCACTTCTGGCTCTTGGAGAGGGGCTCAACGTCACACATTTAGGGGATGCGGCTCCAACACTTAGCCTTGTTGTCACGTGCACACACCCACTCGAGCCGCTGTGACTCCCCACTCTTTCCTTAGATGATATGATCTCCTCACTCCCCCTTTGACTTATTAGTATTACCTTCTACCCTGTCCACAGCAGTGGTTCTTGGTTCTTTCTCTCTCTCTCTTTTTTTCTGTACTATTTCATGGGAAGCCTCACTAGGACAAGGGCAAACACCAGCAAATTGGAATACATTTACTGGACAAAGCACATACACAATACATACACACACATAATAATAATGAATCCTATACTCTACTATTACAATCAGGTTGCACTCCAACACCATAAGAACTCTATCATCAGTTTATCAAGTGGTATCCTATCTCCTGGTTCACCACCTGATACTATCAACCTCCTCAAGTTGATCAAGTCTACATACACTGTTGCACCATCAGCAAGAGAATATATATATGTATCTATAAATGTGTACAAAGAAAATCAGCATTTGAATGCAATAACATATCAGTATAAATGTTCATTGATACACAACAATGATCACTCGATCACTCTATCAGTCCTAGAACGCATACGTCTGTAGGTAATCCAGCCTACGACTGTAATTCTAAACTTCAGTATAAAACACTCCTTGACATAAGAATGCAATCACTCACTCACCTCTCACTGTGTCTAGCATGCTAATGACAACCAAACACTATCAACTCCCTACAAGTAATCCACCAGAACTTCCCTTCCACCTCTGGAAGTTCACTACCCTGATATCTTCAGGTTCTTCCGGGCTTCACTACCAGGATTCTCTGCAGCTCCTCCAGGCTGCTACCATGAAGTTTCCTTGAGCAACTACGGTGCTTCACCACCTCTACAGAAGCACGTGACACTCCTCTTCACTGCTTCTCCTCACAGCTCGAGGTCCTCTGCTCCACTACCTTGGAGTCTCATCAACTACTCCCTCTGTGCTGGCTTCGAAGTTCTCAGCAACTTCTTCCCCAAAGGACAAACCTGCAACTCATCGACACTCCAATAAAAATGTTTCCCCTCTAACACATAAACAAAAATAATCACACAATATGTTTGCCTCAAACCTCTATCTGTCCTCTACATACTGTGAGAGTGGACTCCCCTGTTGGGCGGGTCCATGCTCCACATCGCCTGGTGGGCCTCACTCACTCCGCCTCACTCATTCCGGGAGGGGCCTCCGCCGTCGGGAGCTTTCAGTCACCTGCCAGCGCTCAGAGAGGACGGACGTCGCTCCGTGTTCCTCCCTCTCCACTCTCTTATTTTAGGCTTTCTGCCTCACCAAAACATGTTTAACTTATCAATAAACATTGCTACTGTCGCTGGGCACACGACCAACTACAAGCAATCACTATGAACTGGCTTATATCGTGCTTACCACAGATTGTCTAGTTGAGGGCGCTCCTCCCTCTGACGAAGCTTGGTCAGGGCGCTGCTACGGCCCACGATAATGCCTCTTGGCGGTTTAATGCTCTCCTCGTCGACCAGGACTTGAGACCACACGTCCCCAGCTCGATTCCACAGCTGGTACGTCTGCACACTTCTCTTCTCTTCGAGATATATCACTAGGGGTTCCCTTCTGACGGGAGCTCAACGGAGCGCGGCTTTCCCCCTGCGATGTCTGGCCTCAAGTGAGGTCAAAGCCCTCCAGAAACGAGCCTCACGCCTCCAGCAAAATGTCCACATCTCCTAGCCAGTCATTTATCTGTTTTCTTCTTCACTGCCCATAATCTTAAATTGTTCATCATATCCAAGCAACTATTTTACATATGGGTTATCACCTCAATATTTGCTAGACCTTCTAGTTAGGTCAGGCTTGCTGAATAACTCTCAAGGAGGGAGACTCGCTTCTCCTGTAGGCTGAGATTATAACAAAAGCAAAAAATCATCAAAAAAATAGAATTTCTTATAAACGTGATCGTCACTAAGCGGGCAGCTCACGCAACCGGGAACCACGCGCTCGGTCAACCCGAACGTGTATCAACAAATATCGCTAGTCAACGACACTATCGTAAGTCGAGTCGCATTTTCCAATCAAATTTATATCGTAACTCAAAATTATCGTAAGTCGGGGCAATCGTAAGTCGAGGTGCCACTGTATTTGAAACCAAAAGGGTAAAATTGCATTACTTGCTCTAGCCGTCCCCAGGCAGAGCAGGTGTCCAGACATATGCTAGTCTTCATGATCGAACCAGGAATCCTTTTATCCATTTGTATACTCAATCATGTCAACTTCATGCTCAGAGTCTAATTCATAATCCAAATTAATGTATCCATATTGTGTAGTGCCTAATAGGCCTCTAATACAGTATATCCATAATCCTTAGGTTATGGTTTATTATTCAGATATCAAATTAGCTCTGTGAAAGCATTGCACATTTTCTAAAATAGATTGTTTGGCTAATATTTGGGCTTGTGGGTTTTGGAGATCTAGCATTTTTCCTGGTCAGTGTTCCTGTTCCATGTTGGGCTTGTCACCCTGGGGAGGGTTTCCTGTTCTTATTTTTCCCCTTCCATGGTATAATCTCAAACTTTGCTACTTAAATGATGAGCCCCACTTTTCTGTTCTCTCTGGTTGGTTAGCAACAGTAAACCATATTCTGCCCTTCAGAAAGCCAGTGTTGAATGAAATGAAATGCCTCTTTCTGGAGCGGCCTCAGTGGCGCCTTGGAGTCAGAGTGTATTTTTTGCAATATATCATTTGTGTACTTTTTACTGGAAAAAATCAGAGAAGTATAGTATTTCATAAATACATTATAGTTCAGTATGTACAAACTCACAATACTGTACTGTAGTTGCCCTTATCTTTATTTTGAATTATTACCATTCATCTACTTTATTTTTTGCATAATTTTATAAATGATTTACTATACTGTAATTCTTCTGATTTTCAGCAAAATGGATTTTGTCATTGGTGCTGTAGCAGCTTGTGGTGCATGTTTTGTTTCCAATCCAATGGATGTCTTGAAGACACGCATGCAGCTTCAAGGAGAATTGAAAGCTCGAGGGCACTACACTGTGATTTACAAGAACATTCTTCATGCTGGCATTGCTGTTGCTAAGGTAAATGTCCTCCAGTTTAATCATTTGAAGTATACATACTCTGTGTTCCAGTGTGAAATTTCACCAGACTAATTTTTCAATGTATAAATGGAAAATTATAGTAATGGATCAAACTTCGTTAGATCGACACAAGAATTTATCTCATCTATTCAAGAAAGTTAAAGTATGTAGTATGTTGAGAATTTGTAGTGAATAAGCAGTTAAGTACAGTCAATCTTAACACTTTAACACGGTAATGACGCAGTATGGCGTCAAAAATTTAGTAGACGAATGTGCGGTAATGACGCAGTATGGCGTCAAAAATTTTAAAAATTGGCCTGCTTTCGGCAGGCCAAATTTTTGTGCCTCTCTGAGGGGGGCCAGGTTCTGGCAGGCCTGGAACTCCATACTCACTGACTGATACAAAAAAATCTAATGATATACATATCAGCCTGGATAGCTCCAGGGAGCTTCCTGGTTTTACCCAGAAAATGGCATTTCATTACATTCAACGCTGTTTTTTCTGTGGAGAGCCTCTTCGGCTCCCCGGAGCTATACCGGGCTAATGTGTATATATGACCGTGGTAACAGTCAATCGAAGAAGTTCTAAGCCTACCGGGGACCAGAACCCGGGCCCCTTAAGAGAGGCACGAGGAGCAATGGCCTAAAGACACCCCCGTGTAATTGGAAGCAGTCTTTGTCAGCCATCTACCAAGTCAGGCACCCAGAAAGGTAGGAATTCCAAAACAAACTACTGCTGATCAAATAAATTGCAAACCGAAAGCCAATTAGCAACAGAACTCCCCCAATCAAAACCAAGGAAACAAGTATGACGTCACCACAAACGTCGCGTATTTGTCTGCGCAACCCCCCCCCCCTCCCTGGGAGATGGACGGGGGAGTCCCAGACCTCCATGCCGGCAACTCTCCTCAGTTCAAGAGGCTGTTGTGTTGGTGACGGTTGATCGCTCTGGCTCCACTCTTTGCGCAGTGCTGCAGTGTGGTGGTGTTGCTCTGTTTTGGTGGTGTGTGAGCCAGACATAACACAAGAGTACAGGGGCTGCATGCACCTAGGGCTGCCTTCCCTAGGTGCCCTGTAAGTACTGCCTTTGCGGCTTTAGGGTTATCTTCCATGAGCCGTTCAGGAGCAGCTACCTCCTTGTGGGTCTGTCGCTGCTCGGTGATTGCCCGCCCTTGGGAGTTCAGCTGGGGGTGGTTCTTACTCCTGTTTTCCCTTGGGTTAGGAGGTACAGTACTTTCGTCGTTGGCTGGGGCGCGAGGTACTGTGCAGCTGTCTGATATAAGCATAACGAGAGGTTCTGTTCACCTGGAGTCGTTGTGATTTTGCGGGTTTTTTCTTTTGTTTTCGTTTTGTTTTACCTGGCGGGGGTCTGCCAGGTGTGGAGGTAGGACCACTGGTAGGTTTTTGGTGGCCCTCCACTAGGTCCCTGTGCTTGCACACGTCGCAGGGGTTCAGCTTTTAGATTGCTTGCCTGGTAGCTCTGGGATAACCAGTTAGCAGTACCTCGCCTGGGCTTCCTTTAGCAGTCAGCCTAAGGGGCCCTGGAAACCCTCATTGGAGCTCAGTGGTCCAATGTAGGAGACCTCTGAGTCCCAACTCGCCTTGTGCAAGTTTGAAGGTTGCTCTGTCCCCATGTCTCAGGGTGACATTCACCGTCTGCCTCCGCCTTGCTGCCTGTTGGGGTCAGTGACACCTATGACCCGGAGTCCTGCGAGTGGTGTTCTTTGCTTGTACTCCATTCACCCAGTCCACTGAGACTGATATTTGGGTGCAGGCAGCTTTAGCATTGCTTGCAAGGTTTAAGTTGCAGCAACGTGCAAGGTTGGTTGCCTTTCCGGATGCCCTGCAGCTGCCCCGCTGAATTATACTGGTAGTGAGACTGGTGGCTTAGGAGATTGCCCCTTCCGGATCAGCGGCGGAGGCATTCGAGCCTGGTCCTCCTGCCGGAACTTTTGGGCCACGCCAGTGGGCCCCCTTCATCCCGGCTTTTCCGGTGAACTCTGCTTTTTCTCCAAAGGCAGAGGGTTTGGAGGATGGCTCGGCCCCGGGTCCTGACGTGGAGAATTCCGGGGCTGGGGAGGAGTTGAATGGGGGGGCCTGAGCCCCACGTGTCCCTGCTTGGGTGTTTGGTACCCTCGGCGCAGGGCTTGTTGTTACAGGGGGGGGGGGGGTTCCTTTCTCCCTCCCTATACGATTTTGTTATGAGTTCGACTCCTCCCGGGCCGGGTTTGGGGAGTAGGAGAAATCACAGAACCCCATCAACCTGGTATCAACCAGGTAAAGAGTCTTTTTCCAAACGCTTCCAAGAAAGCTCGCATTGCCTCACCTGTATCTGACTCACCACACGTTGATTCAAATGCGTCGTCAACATCTGAGGTTACCTCATCACCATTATTCTCCACTTCAGTCAACCTAACACCAACATCCACCACCATCTCTTCCATGTAAATAACTATGCTACATCAACAATGATCTTCAACATAACAAGTGGATGAGGACTTCTTTTATAGGTGAGTACAAACAAAAAATACTGTCACATTTATGCTATGAACCTGTTGATTTTTCCCTTAAAATTTGTTCCTACATTTCTCATTTATTTTTTTCCTAAATCTTTCATTTATGAACTTACATGATAACTGATGGGTCTCATCCCAAAGGGGTTCGCAAACCAAGTGGTCCTCTGTAACAGCAAAAGGAGTATGTTAGGAGGAGTCATTTTGGTGAGGGAGATGGCATTGTCTGCTGGCTGGTAATTACCTAAGTGTAGTTACAGGATGAGAGCTACACTCGTAGTGTCCCTAGCACTCTTTGTCATATAACACTTTGAAATTACTGACGGTTTTGGCCTCCACCACCTTCTCACCTAACTTGTTCCAACCGTCTACCACTCTATTTGCGAAGGTGAATTTTCTTATATTTCTTCGGCATCTGTGTTTAGCTAGTTTAAATCTATGATCTCTTGTTCTTGAAATTCCAGGTCTCAGGAAGTCTTCCCTGTCGATTTTATCAATTCCTGTTACTATTTTGAAACGTAGTGATCATATAGCCTCTTTTTCTTCTATCTTCCAGTTTTTGCATATTTAATGCCTCTAACCTCTCCTCGTAGCTCTTGTCCTTCAGTTCTGGGAGCCACTGTTGATTGCAATCAACAGCCAATTAATGCACAACTATATTCTACCCACTTCAAGACTCTGAACCAATATAGAAGCATCAAGAGGAAGTATGGGCCAATAGGTCCTCTGCAGGTGCTTCCATTCTTATGCTCTCATATCCAATTAATACCCACAGTTTCGTGTTCTGTCTTGTATTTGTTAAAAGTTTGTTCACCTCATCCAAAACTGTTGCACCATATCACCTCACCCAAATGCAAGTACAATGGGGCCTCGACTTATGATGCTAATCCGTTTTCAGAGACGGATCGTAAGTCGAAATATTGTAAGTTGAAGCAATTTTTCCCATAAGAAATAAAGGGAATTGAATTAATCCGTTCCCCACCCTCCAAAATATTAACATACAAATACATTTTATACTGAATAAAATGTTTTTTCTAACTACAATACAGTACCTAAGTTTATCTTGCCTTTATGGAGGGCTCTTGATGGCGTATAGAAGATGGGATGAGGGGGGGGAGGAGGAGAGTTGTTACTGTTTGGAAGGGGAGTCCCCTTCCATTATCACATCAGGCAGTGATGTTTTCTCTGGGGTACTCTCTCTCCTACGTTTTGCCTTAATACCACTAGAACCTGGTTGTGGTTCAGTGCTTTTCTTTTCTTCAGTGCTTTCAGTGTAATAATTTTTTACTACAAATTTGTCTTATTACAAATTTGTCAAGATACATTTGTTTTTCCCTTCGTTTTAACATTTGTCTGTAATGATGCATCAGTGTCATTGAAAAGGTTAAGGCAACGACCTACTGCAGCTTGATTTGGGTGAGTCGTTTCAGCAAAGGTTTGCAATTCTTCCCATGCTGCACACATTTTCTTAATTGTTGAGGAAGACACATTCTGTACTGGCACATCATCCCCTGAAGAAATTTCCTCAGCTGCCTCTTCTTGCCACTCCTTTTGAAGGGCTTGGAGTTCTTCGGTGGTCAGTTCTTCGTTGTGTTCTTCCACCAACTCCTCCACATCAGCACCATCCAACTCCAAAACCAGTTGCCGACCCAGAGAAACAATTTCCTCAACAAGAGGCACTTCAGGTTCAGGCTCAAACCCCTCAAAGTCTCGTTCTGCAACACATTCAGGCCACAGTTTTCTCCAGCCAGAGATCATGGTTCTTACAGTCACTTCTTGCCAGGCTTTCTCAGCAAGTTTTAAAGCACTATAAATGTTAAAATGGTTTTTCCAGAACTCTTTGAGGGTGAGGTTTGTAGCATCCGTCACTTCGACACATCTCCGGAAAAGTGCCCTTTCATAAAGTTTCTTAAAATTAGCAATGATTTTCTGGTCCATAGGCTGAAGTAGAGAAGTGGTGTTTGGGAGGAAGGAACTATATTATAACAAACCTAAATTCCTCATCCAATGAATCCTCAAAGCTTGGAGGATGGGCAGGAGCATTATCGAGGAGAAGCAGGGCCTTGAGTGGCAAACTGTTCTTCTGCAAATATTTTTTGATGGCAGGGCACACCACCAAGTTCACCCACTTCGTAAAAAATTGCCTAGTCACCCATGCCTTAGCATTAGCGTTCCACATCATACACATTTTGTGCTTCTGCACATTATATTTTTTTAAAACCCTTGGATTTTCGGAATGATACACAAGCAAGGGTTTAATTTTCAAATCGCTACTCGCATTACCATACAACACAAGAGTAAACCGATCTTTCATAGGCTTGTGTCCAGGCAATGACTTCTCCTCCTTGGTAATGTATGCTTTCTTTGGCAATCTTTTCCAGAATGGCCCTGTTTCGTCACAATTAAATACTTGTTGTGGTAGGTATGCCTCACTCTGCACAAAATCTTTAAATTTGCCAATGAATCTTTCAGCCGCTAGTTTGTCTG